AAATTAGTTGTGTGCTTGTTTGTGTGTGTGTGTTTGTGTTGTTGTTGTTTGTGTTGTGTGAGTTGGGCAGATTGTATTGTCCTTGACCTATGTGTGTTGTGTGTGTCTGTGTGTGTGTGTGTTGCGGTGGCTCATGCCTGTAATCCCAGCACTTTGGGAGGCTGAGATGGGTGGATCACGAGGTCAGGAGATCGAGACCATCCTGGCTAACATGGTGAAACCCCCGTCTCTACTAAAAATACAAAAATTAGTTGGGCGTGGTGGTGGGTTCCTGTAATCCCAGCTACTCGGGAGGTTGAGGCAGAGAACTGCTTGAACCCAGAAGGCGAAGTTTGCAGTGAGCCGAGATCCTGCCACTGCACTCCAGCCTGGAGACAAAGGGAGACTCCATATGAAAAAAAAAGAAAAAGTAAAGGAATAAGAGAACAATAGCTACTCTACAGGCAGAGCAGTTATTTCTTGATTATATGCTAAACAAGGGGTGGATTGTGAGTTTTCTGGGAAAGGGATGGGCAATTTCCCCTCTCCCCCAACTGAGTGCTCCTCACCTTTTTAGACCATATCGGGTAACTTCTGGTTGTTTCCATGGTATCTGTCATGGAGCTGATGGGAGTGTCTTTTAGCATGTGAATCCATTATAATTAGCATATAATGAGCAGCGAGGGTGACCAGAGGTCACTTTTGTTGTCATCTTGGTTTTGGTGGGATTTGACCAGCTTCTTTACCACTGTTTGATCACCAAGGTCTTTGTAATCTGTGTCTCATGTTGATCTTTTTTTTTTTTTTTTTTTTTTTTTGAGGTGGAGGTTTGTTCTGTTGCTCAGGCTGGAGTGCAGTGGTGCGATCTCAGCTCACTGCAACCCCTACCTCCTGCATTCAAGCTATTCTTCTGCCTTAGCCTCCCGAGTACCTGGGATTACAGGCGTGCACCACCACGCCAGGCTAATTTTTGTAGTTTTAGTAGAGATGGAGTTTCGCCATGTTGACCAGGCTGGTCTCAAACTCCTGACCTCAGGTAATCCCCCACCTCGGCCTCCCAAAGTGCTGGGATTACAGGCATGAGCCACCGTGCCCAGCCCTTGTGTCGATCTTCTATCTCATCCTGTGACTAAGAATGCCTAGCCTCCTGGGAATGCAGCCCAGTAGGTCTAAGCCTCTTTTTACCCAGCCCCTATTTAAGATGGAGTTGCTCTGGTTCAAAAGCCTCTGATAGTATCTTATTATACTGTGCAGGCTGATCTCGAGCTCCTGTCTTCAAGGGATCCTCTTGCCTCAGCCTTCCAAAGTGGTGGGATTACAGGTGAGAGTCACCATATCTGGCCCTTTCCCTTATCTCTAATTTCTGGCAACCACTAAACTAGTCTATCCTCCATGTCTATACTTATGTTATTAATATTTCACAAATGTTAAATAAATGCAACAATACAATATGTAACTTTTTATGATTGGCTTTTCTTCAGTCAGCATAACTCCCTTGAAATCTATCCAAGGGAATTATGTATACTGCATGTATTAATAGTTTGTTATTTTTTTCTTTTGTTGAGTAGCATTCCACGGTATGGATATAGCATAGTTTGTTTAACCATTCACATGATGAAAGACATTTGGGTTGTTTCCAGTTTTCAGTTATAACAAATAAAGCTACAATGAACATTTGTGCACAGGTTTTTGTATGAACAGAGCATAAGTTTTCATTTCTTTTTTTTTTTTTTGAAACGGAGTCTTGCTCTGTCGCCCAGGCTGGAGTGCAGTGGCGCGATCTTGGCTCACTGCGACCTCCGCCTCCTGGGTTCATGCCATTCTCCTGCCTCAGCCTCCCGAGTAGCTGGGACTACAGGCGCCCACGACCACACCTGGCTAATTTTTGTATTTTTAGTAGAGACAGGGTTTCACCATATTGACGAGGCTGGTCTCAAACTCCGGACCTTGTGATCCGCCCGCCTCGGCCTCCCAAAGTGTTGGGATTACAGGCGTGAACCACCGCGCCCAGCCAAGTTTTCATTTCTGTTGCATAAACGCCCAAGAGTGCAATGGCTGGGTCATATGGTAAGCACATGTTTAGTTTTATAAGAAACTATCAAACTTTTTCAGAGGGGCTGTACAATTTTACATTCCTACCAGTAATATGGATCCAGTTTCTATACCTCCTAAGCGTTTGGTGTATCACTACTTTTCATCATAGCATTCTGGTAAGCAGGTAGTAGTATCTGATTTTGGTTTTAATTTGAATTTCCCTGGTGGCTAATGATGTTGAACATCTTTTCATGTGCTTTCTTGCCGCTGTATATCCTGTTCAATGAAATGTCTATTCATGTCTTTTTCCTATTTCCTAATTGGATTTTTTTAACCTGTTGAGTGTTCAGAGTTCTTCAAATATTCAAATCTTCAAATGAAGAGAAGGCCTTTATCTGATACGTGGTTTGGAAATATTTTCTTCCACTCTAGCTTGTTTTTTTGTCCTCTTCAAAAGGTCTTTCACAGGGCAAAGGTTTTAAATTTCTTTTCTGCAGGGCACAGTGACTCCCACCTGTAATCCCAGCACTCTGCGAGGCCTAGGTGGATGGATCACCTGAGGTCAGGAGATTGAGACCAGCCTGGCCAACATGGTGAAAGACCCGTCTCTCTAAAAAATACAAAATTAGCTGGGTGTGTGGTGCATGCCTGTAGTCCCCAGCTACTCGGAGAGGCTGAGGCAGAGAATGGCTTGAACCCAGGAGGCAGAGGTTGCAGTGAGCTGAGATCTGCCAAGGCCTCCCAGCGTGGGCACAGAGCAAGACTGCGTCTCAATAAATAAATAAATAAATAAATAAAGGCCGAGCACGGTGTGGCTCATGCTTGTATCCCTGCACTTTGGAAGGCTGAGGCAGCGATGGATCGCTTGAGGTCACGAGATCGAGACCAGGCCTGGCCGATATAAGCGAAACCCTGTTCTCTAACAAAAAATACAAAAATTAGGGCAGGGTGTGGGGGCTCATGCCTGTAATTCAGCACTTTAGAGGGGCGAGGTGGGGGATCACGAGGTTCAAGAGTTTGAGGACCAACCGGCCAACATGTGAAAACCCCGTCTCTACTAAAAATACAAAAATTAGCCAGGTGTGGTGGTGGGCGCCTGTAATCCCCAGCTGCTCAGGAGTCTGGGGCAGCAGATTCGCTTGAACCCGGGGGCGAAGGTTGCAGTGAGCTGAGATCGCACCACTGCACTCCGCCTGGGGACAGGGCGAGTCTCCGCCTAAAAAAAAAAAAAAAAAAAGCTGGGCGTGGTGGCAGGCACTCTAGTCCCAGCTACTGAGTCACCAGAATCGCTTGAACCCAGATGGCGGAGTTTGCACATGAACGACATCGTGCTACTGCGCTCCAGCCTGGGCGACGAGCGAGATCGGTCTCAAAAGAAAAACAAAACAAAACAAACAGGAGAATAATGAAATTTTACTTATTTATTTTATTTTATTTATTTTTAGAGACCGGAGTCTCGCTCTGTCACCCAGGCTGGAGTGCCCTGGCGCAATCTCGACTCACTGCAACCTCTGCTCCGGGTTCAAGCGATTTCTCCTGCCTCAGCCTCCCAAGTAGCTGAGACCTACAGGGCGCCTGCAACCACGCCACAGCTAATTTTTGTGTTTTTAGTAGAGCGGGGTTTTCACCATGTTGCCCAGGCTGGTCTCGAATTCCTGAGCTCAAGTGATCCTCCCGCCACCGCTTCCCAGTGTGCTGGGATTACGGGCGTGAGCCACCGTGCTAGGCCAAAAGTTTTAAATTTCAGTACGTTCCAATTTATCAACTTTTTCCTTTTATAGATTGGTCTTTTGGTGTCGTCTAAAAACTATTTGCCTGGCCCTAGGTCCTGAGAATTTTTTTTTAACTCTTTTTTTTCCCCATCAGTGATTTATGTTTTATGTTTAAATCTATGGTTTATTTTGAGTGAATTTTGTATAAGGTGTGAGGTTTAGGTTGAGGTTCTTTGGGTCTATATTTGTCCAATTTACCCAGCATCATTTGTTGAAAAGGCTCCTGATTCCATTTTTGTACCTCTCCCCTGAGAGCAGTGGGAATGTTTTTTTGAAAAAGTATGTCAGTGATGATGTGATGCCTTGTGCAAAATCCGTATTGGCATCTCACAACGTAAGATTTGGCTCTATTCTAACGGCATTTTCTACCACTCGATATCCACTGTAATACTTGGCTCTGAGGGAATCACTGGGCTGGCTCGCTCACTTCATGCAGGTCCATTCTATTATCACTTCCTCAGAGATTTCTCTGGCCTTTTCTTCACAGCACTTACATAATGAGATCTATTACATATTAATTTGCTTATCTGTTTCTTGTTTTCCTATACTCCTATCCCTCCCAGAAGCTCCAAGAAAGCATACTGTTGTATCCCTAAGGCCTAGAATAATGCGTCCACATAGTAGGTATTCAATAAAATCTTTTGCTTGACAGGTTAGAAAAGGTGAATAAACACAAAGCGGGAGCGAAAAGTTTACTTCTAGGTCAGACGCTTTTTGGACGTCATGCAAAGTGTGAGCGCCACCTCTCGGGAAGCCAATTTGCTCGCGAACAAAGGAAGTGAGTCAGAGAACCTGGGGGTGGAGGGAAGAAAGCAAGCAGCTAACCGGAAAGGTCTGAAAAAGCTAGCGCCGGAAGTTAAACAGCAGAAAGTTGTTCCCTAGAATGACTGCCTACTCCCAAGAGGAAGCGTGGGCGAGCGGTGTTCTGCAAAATGGGCTCTCCGGCAGCGGATCTGCGCAGAAGCGTTCCGTGTGTGCAAGTGCTGCGAACCACGTGGGTCCCCGGCGCGTTTCGGGTTCCGGCGGCTGCAGCCGGAGTTCAAGCCTAAGCAGCTGGAAGGGTAAGAGGTGTTCGGGATCCTGAGAGGGAAAGGAAAGGAGTGTAGTCGCGGGAGAGAGTTAGGTGAGGAGTTAGTGAAGAGGTCAGTTCAGCTCTAAGAGGCGGCGAGGAGGATCGGATGGGAGGAGGGGCAGGGAGCGCCTGTGGACAAGTGCAGACCGGTCGGCGCACGTCCCATGCCACATGGACTCGCCTTTGTCGGGGGCCGCCTTTCTCGTCAGGCCGCGACGACAGGGCTGTGCCTTATTTGTCTCTGTCGAGAGCAGTGCCGGGAACGGAGTTGGCGTTCTATAAGGCCTTGCTGAATAAATGACGGGCGTGTGTGTCATTCATTCAGCAAGGACTGAGTGAGTGCTTACTATTGTGTCACCGGGATCGATGTGGAGGGACATTTTTAGGATCTATTTCTGGCGCTTTAGTCCTGTTTTCTCCTGGACAATATTCTTGCCCCGCACCCCATCGGGCGATTCTCCGCTGTCTTTGGGCTTTGTCCCTTTTTTTTTGGAAGTTGCAGAGTGATGATAAATGATTTTCTTTGCTCTTATTGACTGCTAGGCCCTGTGGCTAGGTACCATAGACCTACACAGGAGTAAATCAGCCTGGTATGCAGGCCAGAGACCGGTGGGGAGGCAGACACACAAACAGAAAATTGGGCTACAGTGCTAAGATGCTGTAAGAAGAGGTTAACTAAAGGACAGGAAGGTGGGGCCAATAGGTGGAGCTGCTGTGTACATCAGAGATTGTCTTTCAAGGCGAGGGGCCTCCCATCTCAAGATGTGATACAGGGTAGGTCATGAGCCAGTCTTCTGTAAAATGAGGGATCTGGACAGAATAGGTACTCTCTAGGCTTCCTTTCAGTATGATGTCCCGTATCAGGTATTCCTAATGTCTGTAGCTCTCCCACACCCCACCGTTTATTGGCTAGTCAAAATATTCTTTGCATTGTAAAGTGTAGCATACATTACAAGAATGGATTAATGGGTTGGGAATGCTGGGTTTTGGCCTTCATTCTGGTGCTCTGGTCCTGTTTCCTCATTTGTAAAATGAAGGGGGTTGTAAAGATATATTCTCTAAAACCCCTAATGCTGTGGATGTGGCATTAAGTCAAACTACTATTTCTTACTGCTTTGTACCAGACATCACTTTCACATAAGTAAAACTTTTTATCAGTGTAGTTTCTCCCAAGTTTGATTACTGAGAAAGATTGTTTTTACCTCCTGTATCCTAGTTCCACCACAGTGTTTGGTACACAGTAGATGCTTAAAAGAAGCTTATTATATCAAATGGTGGCCAGGCACGGGGCTCATGCCTGTAATCCCAGCACTTTGGGGGGCTGAGGCGGGTGGATTATTTGAGATCAGGAGTTGGAGACCAGCCTGGCCAACATAGTGAAACCCCATCTCTACTAAAAAAAAAAAAAAAAATACAAAAATTAGCTGGGCATGGTGGCACGCGCCTGTAGTCCCAGCTATTCAGGAGGTTGAGGTAGGAGAATAGCTTGCCTGGGAAGTGGAGGTTGCAGTGAGCCAAGGTCACGCCACTGCATTCCATCCTGGGCGACAGAGCAAGACCCCATACCAAAAAAAAAAAAAAAGGGGGCTGGGCGTGGTGGCTCATGGCCATAATCCCAGCACTTTGGTAGGCTGAGGTGGGTGGATCACTTGAGGACAGGAGTTCGAGACCAGCCTGGGCAACATGGCGAAACCCCATCTCTAAAAAAACCACAAAAACCAAAACCAAAGTAAAATAAATCAAATGGGATAGAAATTATAGTCCTTGCTTTTGGATCCTTTCCCACATTGACATATTAGTTCATAGATGAGGGGACTGGGGAGGAATTGGGTTTTTACCAGAGGGAGGCCTGCAGCTGACCTGACAGATTTAAACCAGCTTTATGGGATAATCCGCTTGAGAAGGATGACGATGTAGGCAAGTGATTCAGCGCTGTTTCATTCCTCTACCTGCCTATCCCCAGGACCATGGCCAACTGTGAGCGTACCTTCATTGCGATCAAACCAGATGGGGTCCAGCGGGGTCTTGTCGGAGAGATTATCAAGCGTTTTGAGCAGAAAGGATTCCGCCTTGTTGGTCTGAAATTCATGCAAGTAAGTGGACTTCATTGTTCCCATTTTGATTTCTTCATAGTATAGGAGAACACTGTGATTAACCTGTTTCTCCCCGGCTTTCTTATTTAAACTTCTTCATGGTAGAGTGGACAGAGTGGACACAAGTATCTAGAGACCTGGAAACACCTCAGTGCCCTAGCGTTTGGCTACATTTAGGATTTTCCAAAATAGTCTCTGTAATATGAGGTGCATTGCTATGGGAAAAGCAGTGCAGAGTTCCACATATGACTGCATCACTGTAATTTGTGACTCAGCTGAGCATGTTTGAGTTTTTGGTCTTGAGCTTCCTGAGCAGATAATTTTAGAGAGATTTTTTTCCCCCTTTGAGACAGGTTGTTTTTTTAGCAAGAAAATCTTCCATCATCAATTACTAGACACTCATCAATGCTTATTGTCTAGCATTTATTAGGTACCATAGGAGCTTGTGGAGGAAAACTATGGTTTTGGTTTTGGGGAGGTTCTCCTGAAATAGCAGAGGGCAGATGTACCTGCAAGCTACTTACAAAGCAATCTTCTGATAAATGCAAGGGATTGATTGACCAGTAACCCCTCTTTAAACACATTCTAGAGATAAGAATTCAAATTCTTGGCTGGGCGAGGCACAGTGGCTCATGCCTGTAATCCCAGCACTTTGGGAAGCCAAGGCGGGCTGGTCACTTGAGGTCAGGAGTTCAAGACCAGCCTGGCCAACATGACGAAACCCCATCTCTACTAAAAATACAAAAATTAGCTGGGTGTCAGGGCGGGCACCTGTAATCCCAGCTACTCGGCAGGCTGAGACATAAGAATTGCTTGAACCGGCCGGGCGCGGTGGCTCAAGCCTGTAATCCCAGCACTTTGGGAGGCCGAAACGGGCGGATCACGAGGTCAGGAGATGAAGACCATCCTGGCTAACACAGTGAAACCCCGTCTCTACTAAAAAGAATACAAAAAACTAGCTGGGTGAGGTGGC